AAACAAAACAAAACACAGGGTGGTCAGCAGACTCCCTCCTATCTGATGGGATGGTAAACACCACCCACATTTTCTAGCTTTTCATTAAGAAGCATACAGTTGAGTGATAGCAGAAATGAAAGAACCTGTACTTCCTGGGCCAGCATCTGTCCAGTTTAGAACAAAATGCTATCCGTGGCCAGGCTCCACTTTGCTGAGAAAGGCTGGTATTCGTCTTTGCCAAGAAGAATGAACCTTTTGGCAAATCATTAGAAAAGCACTTTTTAATATGGAGACTCCAGAGAGCTGTGACCACCTTAGCAGGAATGTGGCTTTGGGGCTTGGTGGGAGGGGGCTAGAATCCCACTTAGTTTTTAGTGGGCCTCTCCTAGTCCTGGGCTTACCCTTCATGGATTAAGTGAAATAATCTACATAAAGTCTTAGCCCAGCACCCACCGGGCACTCCGGAGGCCCTCAGACAACCATCATCCATCACCACCATCGGCCATCCTCTTAGCATCTGGGATCCTGCACCCTGGGGCCCGACTCCCAAGCTCGGGGTCTAGAAGCAGAGAGGCTCCGCCTGCCTCTAGGCCCTTCGGGATGTTCTGGGAGGCCCCCCAGTAAACCATGCTAAGGGCAAGGTAGAAACAGCCTCTGCTTGGGAGGGAGGGTTTCCCAAGCCAACTTTTCTTTTTATCTGAAAGGAAGGGCTGCCTTGGAGGCAGCAGCAGGCGGACGGCACAAATAAATACGGAGAAACCTCTCCCGGGCTGCTATTGTGCTTTGTACAATGGCAGGCCCTGGAGACATTTTCATCCAGGGAAAGTAAAATAAATGTGGTCAGATTACACCCTTGCCAGAGCCCTGACCTGCTTCAGCCCTCCCGTGACAGCCCTCCCCCGAGCTCCGTGGGAGCGAAGGGGCACTTTTTAATCAGAGTCCTGGCCTAATATGGGGGAGAAGAGAGTTTAGGGTGTGGACACAGGTCCTTGAGGTGGGGCTGGGATTCCCAGAAGCTGTGGGCACTACTCTTTCGACCACCCTGGGCTTTCTCAAAAGCAGCCAGCACCAAGTCCCCACCCTTCCCAGGGGTTTCCGGCCCACTATGGGCTGCGCCCCGCAGGGCAGGGCTGGCGACACACCCGGGGCGAGGCGGTTTGTCTCTGTGGGGAGGAGGAGCCCCCTTCCAGCCATGGGCAGGAGGGGCTGAGTAGCACTGGTGGCTTCCTGGAGTCTAGGAAATGTCCCCCAATGCTATGGGACTGGCAGCTCAGCCTCTGCTGCCTTCAATGGCCTTGAAGTGAGTCAGACAGTTGTTAAGACCTTTCTGGAAGCAAAGCCGTCTTTCACGGGAATGAGTGTCCGCTCTTCTGCAGCTGGTGTTTCTAAGCATCCCTTGTGTAGGCGAGGGAAATCTCCCCACCCAAAAAACACCGGGCCCAACAGCTCTGAAACCCCTTGGGAAGAGCCAAGCCCCAAGCTGGGATGTTTCCCGCTAGAGCAGCCCGCCACCCTGGCTGACCGCGGTGCCTGCGCGACACGTGCCCACGCGCTGGGCTCGGAACTGGGGAGACGGGGGTGAGCGGGGCTGGGGGCGGTAAGGAGCTGTGTGGAATCAACCGTGTAATACGCCGAGCTCAGGACTGGGCAGGTCATAAGTCCTAATTACACAGCAGGAACTTTATTAATAAAAGCTGATGTTTGGCCCTGGCCGGTAGCGCAGTGGTTAGAGCGCCGGCCCTCAGACCAAAGGGTCGTAGGTTTGATCCCCAGCTGGGGTCAGGGCGCGTGCAGGAGGCAACCAATCGATGTCTCTCCCACATCTACGTTTCTCTCTCTCTCTCTCCCCCCTCCTCTTTCCCTCCCACTCTCTCTGAAAATCAGTGGGAAAAGATATCCTCGGGCAAAGATTAAAAAATAAAATAAAAATTTTAAAAAGCTGATGTTTGAGCGCTTATTGCGTATCATGCTGGGTCTCACCATGACCCTCTGAGGTAGGCAGTCCTCTTATCTTACAGAAGTGGGAATTCAGCCTCAGAGAAGCTAAGCAGATTGTCACCATCACACAGCTGCTTCTCTGCGGGGCTGGACTCAAACCCGGGCAGTCTGATGCTACAGCCTGCCCTCAACAGCCACGTAATACTCTGTTCTTATTACTACTCACCAGCATATCTTCTGGGGATCTCCATCTCAGACTATTATTATTGGACAAAGAGAGGGCTATTCTTGAAGCATATAAAAGGAGTTGTGAGCTTGTTTTGTGTTGGAATATTCATATAAAGACCAAAGGGGGGGGGAAGCCCAGAACAAAAATTAAAATTACCACATTAAACAATTTAAAATAATACCAAGAGGCCCTCCTGACCCAATACCATTTCAAATAACACTTGTCTGTGTCTGAGCGCTCTCTCTTGCTTCCTTTGGCCTCACTACCCAATAAGATAGACATAGCAGGTATCCACTCCTAATTTACCAATGAGAAAACTGAGGCTCAGAGAATTTATGGAGCTGTTCAAGTCTAAGTGGCTAATTACTCTTAATAGAAATCACTGAAGTTTCTTGAGCAATTACTTTGTGTTGGGTACCGCACTGTGTTCTACATGGTATAGTAATTAAGCAACAGAGTTCTGATGGTCCATTTTGCAGTTGAACAAACTGAGGCCTACAGAGGCTAAATAACTGGCCTTAAGACACACAGCTAGGGAGTACCCCGACCTGTTGTTCACAACCGTGACCTGGTGGTCTTGATGGGGCTCCCAACCAGACTGAAGGGTCTCACACAGAAGACCTTCTTTGTGCCGTGCACCTGGGAGGTTAGAGTGTGGGGGACACAGTCCTCGCTTCGGAAGGTCACAGGCAGTGGGACGCAGAGGAAAGTGGTATGGGACTTGAAGTGGGCCGATCTGGGGCTCACTGGCTGAGTTATCAGGCATGTTTCTCTAGCCTCTGAGCTTTGGTTTCCCCACCTGTATAGCGGAGCTGCCAGGATTTGTCTTGCAGGGCTGTCGTGAGGGATCCTGTGAGCACAAAGCCTGCTGGCAGTACAGAGATCTCGCTACACATCAACTGAGGAGCAGAAACACACACAGCTAGCTGTCCTAGGCAACACCTGCTAGTGTCAAACGTGATGTTCAACTGCAGGCACGCAAAGAATTCACTGGGCAGGTCGGGCTGGGCCCATCAAGGCAGGCTCCTAGAAAGGGTGTGAGCTCAGGCTTGTCTTTGATTTAGGGCAATGGAGCCCATGGGAAATTCACACGGTAACTCCAAAGAGCTAGGGAGCCACTCATTTCAAACAGTCCACGTTACCATGACCTCCTTTCCCTGGGGCCAGATCCTCTCCGCGCTCCACCTCCTTGAAGGTTGGACACTGTCCAGAAGACATGCCCTTGGCCAAGCTGCAGAGGCGGAGAGGGCCTCGTGTGTTCGGGGAGCCCTCGGTGGTTTGGAGGAGCTGGAGAGCAAGACCCGAAGGCGGGGCGCTTTGGGAGGGGCACTGAGCAGTAGGCGAGGCGAAGGTCAGCCACGAAGGGCCCCGGATGCCCAACATAGTCTTGTGAGTGTTGCCGCGTGTGAGGACTCACCTCTGAGGGGAGGCGGGGGTGATTTCCAGTGCACTGGTGATCCACAGTGGCAAATGCCATAAGGTGCGCAAGGTAAGGGGTGGAGAGACTGGCTGTGGTCGTGGTGGACCAGTGTGGCGGTGCGGGTGTGGGAAGGGGCAGAAGTTCGAAGAACACAGACCTCCGGCTGGGGCTTCCTGACCTGTTTCCTACGGCAATGAACCACATGTGCCAACTGGCTTGAGAAGAACCTGTTTCCAACTTCTCGGTGTGGGTCTACTGGACGCCGGTGCAACTGGCCCCTGGGCAGGGGTTACAGATTGCGTGTTTGTTGCCCCCCAACTCATGTTAAAACTCTAACCCCAACAGGAAGATATTGGGAGGTAGGGCCTTCGGAAGGCCGTTAGATCATGAGGGATAGAGCCCTTAGGATGGAATTAGTGCCCTTCCAAGAAGAGGCGTGGGAGAGCTTACTTCCCCTCGCTGCGGTCCACGTGAGGACACAAGGCGACATCTCCGGGCCCAGCAGGCTCTCCCCAGGCACCTGGCCTGCCAGCACCTTGACTGTGGACTTCCCAGCCTCCGGAACTGTAAGAAATACATGTCTGCTGTTCAAGCCACTCAGTCTAGGGTCTTCTGCTACAGCACCCCACATGGACTAAGACGACTAGGTTCGATGGACACACAGCAGAACCGCTGTGGGCACAGGCTACCGTGAGCATAAATAGATGCCTGTATTTTCTGCAAGCCCTAAATCTTGGCAGTGAAGGTCAAATAAATCAAAACGTAGGCGGCTTCCTTCACTTCAGGTCTGACAATGCGGGGAGGTCACAGATTTCAAGGCTCTTTTCCTCCCACTGCATTCTAGTTTCTTAGTAAAACGCCGGCAGTCAGGGCAGGTCAGCAGCTCATTCCTCGGACCTCCCCGAATTCCCAAGCCCCAGCCTTGTCTAAAAGATGAGACTGTACCACAAAGTCAAACACCAGCCAGTTCAACAGCTCGATAAAATTTTTTTTTTTTAATGTTTTTATTGATTTGAGAGGGATAGAAAGATCGATGAGAGAGAAACATCATCGATCTGCTGCCTCCTGCACGCCCCCTACTGGGGATCGAGCCCGCAACCCAGGCACGCGCCCTGACCGAGAATCAACCGTGACCTCCAGGTTCCTGGGTCGACACTCGACCACTGAGCCACACCGGCTGGGTGAAAAATTGTCTCTTTAGTCGACTTGGTCACTACGGTCCGGACAATGGGACAAACAGCCCTGGGCTGTGCCATGACTATTTATTTTGTTGCGTTTCCCCTCCGACCCGCCTTCCCATTTGATAGACACACATTCCTAAGGCTTTGGTTTGATTTCGTTTCTGTTGTTGGGAGTCGGGCTGGTGCTTCCATAAACGGGGCCGATCTTTAGAGGGGGCAGGGAAACAGGCAAGCAAACGGCGTGGAGGCGTCTAGGAACAAAGCACGCACTTTATTCACGGAGCCGTGAGTACACAGAGACGCGGGGCACAGCAGAGGGGCGAGCGCTGTTGCAACGGGCGTGGAGAGGGTCGGGCTCGTCCGCACAGCGACGCGGGCCGCTGGCCACCTCTGCAGACCAGCACGCGGTACTTGGGGTGCAGACGGACACCCACTCACTTTCACGGGGGACACGACACGTCTTTTACACAGTTCCTCCAAACATTTGCTTTCGTAGATCTGAAAAGGGGAGGGAGGGCGGGAGTAACAGCAGATTGTCCAACATTTGAAAGAAATTCCATAAACCCAACTGAAAGCTTCGATGCGGGATTGCCGGAAACTCGGAGAAAACACACACACTCGTTACATAAAACCCCCAGAGAACACCAAGCTTGTGGCGTCCGTGTTTCCTTCCGCAGGGTAAGAAACAGGCGTGTGCCCTGAAGGCTCGCCACCTCCGTGGACGCTGGTGTCTACCTCTGGTGAACGGGCTCAGAAAGGGACTCGGGGTCTCCACTCTCCGGAGAGATGCCTGGGGCAGTTTTATTTAATGGTAACAATTCCCACTTAATTATGCTAAGCGTCAGGACATGTTGGATTTCTTTAATTTTGCTGTGTACACAGAAATTGTTTAGAAAGTTCCTTTCAGCTTAAACTATCCACACCTCCCCTTTTCTTCTTGTCATGAAATTCAACTTGTCCAATAAAAGCACAAAAATCCATATGCAAAGCGTATCCATCACCACCTTCCCCCAGTTTCCTGGGCAGCGGGTGGAAAGACAGTGATTTTTTTTTTTTTTTTAAATGCCAAAGTAAAAGTTTCTCCTTTTCATCATAACACAGTTGGGTAGTTCTCTTAATGTCCATCATCACTAGGAGGTGGCATCAGTGCAAACCTCAAGTCCAAAAGCATCTCTTTTTCTGGATAGAATGTTCTTCAAAAAGGAGTACTAATGAGTGAGGGCATACTGAAAACCCTTGGCGTGCCAAAGGAAATCATTTTAAAAATCAGCTGAAATCAAGGCTGGCTTAGGAAGTACTGATTAAACAGTGACCAGAAATACAAAAGAGTGATTTGTAAAAACGGAGCCTGCTTCAGAGGACAGAGGGGCTGGGGTCGAAGCCCATTTCCTCCCACCCTCACTCGTGACCGTCGGAGAGAAAGCCCTGTGGGCCCACCGCTCCCCGCCCCTTTCACACACCGGAGAACCTGAACACCAAGTTTGCTTAAAAGAGTTTTTAGAAAGACCTACTTAGTCCAAAGTGGTTAATTTGAATTTTTTTTTTTAAACTAGCAAAAGCATATATATTTTATATAATCATCTGAGAAGCAATTCTTTAGAAAAAGGTGTTTGCTTTCAAGTGTAAAGAAATCAGGTGAAAGTTTTATAAACGTTTCTGGCCAAGAAGTGCTCCAAGTAGAGTTGATGGACAGAACCCGATCGATCGAGAGGGTGAGGGCTGAGAAGAGCTGCTCCGGGCTCACCTCGGAAGAGAAAACTCAGCTTGGACACAACAGAACTGGGAGAGACTAGAGGACAGGACAGATAAAAACAACTTCTCTTTTGTCTTTGCACCTATTAGCCATTAACTCTAGCTTCTCTGGTCAAGGTTTCAGAGAACAGGCAGTTTGTCTTTAGTTACTGAAGCCGAGTTATGCACATTTCATCACTAACCCAAGCCACAGTGCAGACGCAGGGCTGGCTGTACAAGTTTATCCCCACTCTTCACGTCTCAGCATAGATCACACAAGGAGTCTGAGTGGCACCCCAGCTTTCCTGGGAGAAACTTCAAAGCAAGCACTGACGTTCATAGAGCCAGAGGCCTCGCCTACCCCATGCACTCAGCGTGTGCAGTCATAAGGAAGCCCAAAGCTCAAAAGGGTAGCCCTTGTGTCTGCGCCGGGGAAGCTTGCCGGGTGGGGTGTGTGATTCATTCCCGAAGTGAACAGCCCCTGCTCGTTCGCCTGTGTCAACACTGCCATTGTGATGGGCAGGGCGGGGCGGGGCTCAGGCTGAGAATACAGATGCCCCGTGCAGTGGCCTGGACGCCCCGTGAACAAGCGCGCGGAGCCCCGTGTAGTAAACGGACGGTGAGCTGCAGCGGCACACTGGATCCGGCAGTCAGGAGCAGCAGGCTGCCTCAGCCTCCCCTCCAGCCCGAGTGGGGCTGGGGGCCCGCTCTGCGCTCGGGTTCATTCAGTGCCCCGTCTCCAGGGTACAGCGCTGCTCTGCTCGCAAGCAGGAGGCCACTGGCACTTTGGGGCGATGCGTACGCGTAGCTGCATGGCGTGGTTTAAACTTGCTAATACACTTGACAGGGAGAGAACCTGTTCTCCCTTCCAAGGTGGATGCAGAGCCAAATGCAAAAGATACGAGGAAAGCAAAGTTGCATGGGTGGGAACAGGTCTGGGGCTCAGTTCTCTATCGCTGCAGTTTTTCTGACGTGGATGTTTGATCTGTATGTGCACACACGGGGCGTAACGCATTAATCAATGAAAACATCGAGGGTCCTTTATGGACCCCAGAGTGACAAAAACTCTCCACCAGCCTAGCGCTGGAACTCTTACTGATGGTGTCAGGGAGACACTGGGGATACGCTGTGGTCCCCACGCCTCACACTTTGCCAGAGCAAAGCAAGGACTGGGACAGACAGGTGGCCAATGCAGGTGAGGTCAGAGAGAAGACGGGGCAGCAGAAACACCGGATGAAGCAGGATATAAACGAAAGGGCAAAGCTGAACACTGCAGTCTGGATTCCTCAGGTCCACCCCAGCAGAGCCATTTGCAAAATAAGTTAGTAGTTCCAGTGCATGTGCGTGCGCACACACACACACACACACGCGCACACACACATCATGGGGTCAACAGTGCTGGGCAGGAAGAAAAGCTAAAAAGGCCAAGTGAAATCAGTGCCAGGCCATCTACCTTGAGGTTGCAGGGATTTAAAACAGAAAACCATGTCTCTCCTCAGCTGACTTCTGAAAGACCTTGAAAAAGCCACAACCAGTGCGGGTCAGATTCAACTCAGCAGATGCCAGATGCAGGCGAGGGTGGGAACTTGCGACGGGAGGGCATGGACCTTTTTTTTTTCCTTCTTTTTTTGCCATGAGTGCCATGGCCCCTGGGTGAGAATCACCTAAGAGCATGCACCTGTGCCAGCCTGGAGTCCATTTACCCTTTCCTTTCTTTGCAAAGGGGGACCAGGGCCAGCTCCCGTCCTTGGTAGGGAGGGTGAATCACACTATCTAAAGCAGAAAAAGTTAAGGGAGTTTTTCCTTTCATTCCTTTTCCTTCTTTTTCTCTTAACATTGTTTTTCTAAAATGATACCTAATTCATTTGTGACCCAGGTGCGGGCTGAGTCGAGAGCAAGGAGCTGGTTAACAGCGACTCGGGCTGCGCGAGGCCAGGGAGCAAAGGCGTGGGGACGGCTGCCGGGTGCGCATGGGCCCTCGGGCTCCGTCCCAGCCGCCCGCCGCACCGTAGCACAGGGACACTCCGGGGTTACGGCGGCTGCTTGGCTCCACGCGGCATCCTAAGGGCACTTGCTGGCTCTTATCCGGACAGGCAGCGCTACTGTTGGACACCAGTTAAAGGGGAACAAAGGACGGGGCTCCTGCCGTGTGCACAAGGAGACGCAGAGAGGTCGCGTGTGAACGCCACCGCCGAGCGTGGGAACAGACTTTCTGCCCCGCCGCAGCCTGGCGCGGGCTGCCGCTGGTCGGCCCAGTATTTGGCCCGTGGGTGTCTTAATCGGATCCCCCCCTTTGGCTGTTGCTGAGGGACAGTAGTTTGCAAATTCTCCAGTCAAGTTTGGGCCTTAATACAACATCCCATGTGTCACCGCCGCTTTTTCGAACTGCTGCCTGCGGGCGGGGCTCAGAAGAGCTTTGCTTTCTTCTTCATGTCGTTGCGTCTCCAAAGAGGTAACTTGTCGAACTCCTGTATGGACATCCCAAAGATCTCCCGGAACACTTCGGGGGCTAAGTGGCGCTGTGGGGGGAGAAGAGAACTGCGGTCAGTCCCGATGCCCACGCGGGGGCCACTCGCCTCGGTGAGCCAGGTGGGACGCGGAGGGGAGCACCCCTCGGAGGCCCGAGGCCCGACGGCGGGCACCGCGCCCGGCCCCTCACCTGCCTGGGCCGGGCCAGGCGCCCTCTGCACCGCACAGGGGAGCTGGAGCGGCGCTAACGATGGTTGAAACGGCGCTGAATGGAGAGGGGACAGAGAAAGGTGACTTATGCTGGAGGTGGCTCTACTTCAGGCCCTTGGGATGTTGGGAAGAGGCAGAGAACGTAGACCATGGCCATGAGAAAGCCGGAGAGACTTCCAAAGTGGTCCTTGGGGACGCCGGGCTCCCTTCTGGCTCAGCCACAGGTGAGGTGGATGGATGCCTGGCCTACTCCTGAGAACCCCCACCTGTCACCCCTCCTAGGAAAGGCCCTAGGATGCCGGAGCCTTGATTCTCTGTGCCTGGCTGAACTGCCTGCAAAGGCACTGCCTTTTGTCAGGGGAAAAAAGAACAATTCTTTAGGAGGCTGGCAGCCAGGGCTTTTCTTATTAAAATCATTCAGATAGAAAAGTAGAAAGCTCATTCCCCCGTGTCTAGGGAGGTCTGGGGTGTGCGGGCCCAGATAACCCTTCAGCAAGGCATGCGGAGGCCGCTGAGAGAAGCCTGCTCGGTACAAGCCTCTTTGCTGAGTGTCCCCCCTCCACGGACTCAGCCGGGGCTGGGGACAGACGGGGGCTGGGGCTCTCCAGACAGGGACGGAGGGGCCTTTCTACGCCACCAGCCAGAATTATGGCAACACCAGGTTTCCAAAGAAAACGACTAACATCATACTGGGCTCCTGGGTTGTTGTTCTGGATTTTACTTCATGCTGATCTTTTAAGTGTAAATACGGGTTTTTCTGGTTATCAGCAAATTCTACCCTACCTGAGTTGTGAGGCTGACTCTTTTCATGTTTTTTGCCTTCACAGAAACGTTTCTCAGGGGGAAGTTGGAGGACGTGCACAGGGAACTGCAGTTGGGACCAGATTTTTATTTTTTATTTACCTCCAGCCTTGTTCTGTCGACGTCTCTCAGGATTTTGTTGCGCCCTCTGTTGGTCACCATGAGCATTTCATACGGAAATATCTGGGAAGCGAAGAGACACACCTTCTAGAACACTGTGGTCCATCACGTTACCAAGCAGGACCTACTGAAAATCTGGTTCTCCTCAGGGAGAGCTTCTAAGATGATAATTATGGCACCTGAGGTTCCAGAGTACGGGGACAGGTTCTCACATATGCCCCACTGCCCACCTGTGTCCCAGGCAGCCCTGCGCCTTTGCAGGGCTGGGCTGTGTGAAACAATACAAATCTACCATGTCCTGCGGAGGAAGGTAGACACTGGAAGGGAACTGAAGTGATTTAGTGGACATAGACTTCAACAACCTTGTTCTAATACTGACTCACGAATCCGTGGAGCCAGGCTGACCCAGAGCAGTATTCTGGTGGGTGATATGATAAGTCCCAGGGAGGGTCCTCATGGAGCACAGCCCTTGGACACCTCTGGAGGAACAGGATGCTCTGGAACTAGGGCGACCAACCATCCCAGTTTGCCCAGTACCAAGGAGGGTCCTGGGACACAAGACTTTCAGTGCTAAAACTTGGCAAGTCCTGGGCAAACTGGGACATACTGGTTACCCCATCTGGAGCAGTGTGCAAGTGGCTCCACTCAGCACGGGGCACGCCTTGTAGTGCTCATGGCAGGGGCCACGTTAATGCTGAGGTCACGGGAGACGTGCTGGTACTTCCTGTGAACATGTGGCACCTCACCCAGTGAGGGCTCAAACCTGCTGACATGGTGTGACGAAACGAGCCAGGTGGCAGGGTGCTCTGTGACATGGCTTGCCTAGTGCACCAGCCTAGAGCCACGTGGGCCTCGACACTGAGGATGGTGAAAAGACAGAAGACCAAATCTCTTCCAGGGCCACGTCCTGGCCACTCATCTCTGTACGACAGCTGAACTTGCCTTTGGCTCCAACATGTTGGGCATGGACACTCCACGGTCCATCCTCATGCCAGGCACGTGGCCATCCGGGAGGGTCTGCAACAGAGAAGCTGGGTCAAGGAGGAGCCCATGGCAGCGTGGGAGCTGGAGGGAGAGCTCTGTGGGCTCCCAAATCCTCCTGTTTGGATCTCACGTCCTCTCCACCACTTTATAGATGTGTCATCTTAATTACTCTGGATTTTTCAAAATGAGATGCTTACTGAATAGGAGCAGGAGTGCTGCTGTTTTCTAATCAAGAGGGGGAACTAGCCTGGTATAACCGTATTGACTAGGCCCTGAATTTAGGCTCCAAGCATGAACGGTACGTAAAAAATGGCTACATTTACGGCGGTTCATTCTTTATTTTTATCTTGCGTTTCTTTGCCTATTTTCCCTTTTCTCATTCTCTGTCATAATTTTACAAGGCTTAGGCTGTACGGAAAAAGGAACGGTACCAAAGCATCTCTTCCCTTTTGGCCAACACAGGAGTTTGTGTTCATACGAGACCAGGCAAAGGAAGGGGGACCTAAAGCACTGAGTCACTATAACCAAAAGAAAACAAACTGCAGCCCGGCCGGGTGGCCCAGTTGGTTAAGCACCTTCCCACACGCCAAAGGGTCACAGGTTCAACCCCTGGTCAGGGGCGCGTACAGGAGGCAACCGACTGGTGTTTGTCTTACACATCGATGTTTCTCTCTCTCTCTCTCTCAAATCAACGGAAAATATCCTTCGATGAGGATTTAAAAAAGAAAATAAACTATGCATGGGCGGACCCTTGACGCTGGTTCCCCCTGAGGAATGACTCTTCAAGGCCAGAGCAAGACAGTCCTCAGACACCTGTCCTGGTTCCTGCCATGTCCCCAAGGCCTGCGGGGACAGCTGGCTCCCCTGGCTCCTCACGGCTGTAGACTACTGATTCCATCGATCAACCCCAATCAGCAACTGCTCAACAGAAACCCTTCCCGGGAGCAGCAACACGCATCTGGACTGAATAATGGCTGTTCTGCTGGTGCGGCCAACTCAACAAGGACAGGGTTCCATACCTGGTAGTCTGCAAAGACAAGAGAAAGCAGCTGTCAGCAGGGAAAGACCACAGAGAGGCACGGAAACATGAACAGAGAGACTACCCTGCTGCAGTTGCCCAGACGTTTCCCAATGACCATGCTCTGGGTCTCTCTGCACACAGCGCCCGCCTGGCTCCATGGAGCCAGGAAATGCCTGCTCGGGTTTCCATTATCAGTTAAAGCACCTTTTTCTACTGGAGGTCATTTTCCCTGGCACCCCGAAGGTGCTGCTGCCTTCTTTCTGCATCTCCAGTCATGTGCATTCTGCAGGCAGGCCAACCATCGCTGCACCCCAGGTGTCTGCACACAGTAGGTGCAATGAATTCGCTCTTACACGCTTGCTTCTCACGGTCTCATGTCACCAGAGATCCTCGGAGATGTTAAGAAGGGCCCTGTTAGCCCGCAGAGGGTAGGTGGGGGATCCCACTTCAGAATGTAACGCGGCACGAACCCCGCTAATGTGCCTGTCACTGCCTAGCCTGTGTCAACCTCGGCCATGGTCACACTGCGGCCGCAGGACCCTCACCTCGCACTCCCCCGCTGACGTCCCCGTAGCTGTTGTACTGAGCAAAGTCTGTAGAGACGGGCTGAAATGAGAAAAGGCACAGTATTAGAAAATCTACTGCACAGTGATCGCTTGGGAGTCAGGTGAAAAGGGGGAGAGTTTACGAAGCCTGAGAATTCTTCCCCAGCTGGACCCTGGGCCCTCATCGTCTTTCCCCACTTCCTCTCCCGTTCCTGTGAACCCTGTCTGTGGTCGTCCTTCGATGCCACCGCTCAGTAGGTCCTTGCAAGCAAGTACCTCTTGCTAATAAATAACGTTTCTCCACATAGTTATCACACATAGTCCACGTGTTGTGGGAGGGAGATGGCAAAAAACTTTCCTAGAAACTCTTTACAGCAGAGATAAAGGCTCGAATAATGACTTTTTGCTTGGCTGCAGGAATATTTGCCACCTTATTACTTAATCTAGTCTTCCCGTAAACGTACGCAGGCTATTCTTTTATCCAAAGGCAACTTCTCTTTCTTTCAATAGAAATATTTATTTTGCCCATAACTCGAGGTGATTCACCAGGAGATCGGGGAGAATACAATTTTCATCAAATGCTAACACTGAGGTCATCATGTCAGAAGTATTCAGAGATGTGTCAGCACGTCCACCAACACGAAGGGAGGAGGGAGTCCACTCGGAAACCACGGGAGGAGAAACCTTACCCGGTGAAGCCCGTTTCTTCCATAGCCCGGGAGAGATGAAGTTTTAGATGACAGAACGTGCGAAGCTAAGCGAGAAAAAGGTGAAAAAGCAATTGTTAGGAAACGGGAGGTCTTTATTCTTTAATGAAATTGGTGGTATATCTTCTACCCTGCAGAGAAGATGATTTAGGGAAAAAAACAATCCAAATAATATAGGGCTGAAATATTCACAAAATGCCGCCATACTGGGTGATGCAGGGATGGGTGGGCGGTGATATTACTGAGGAGCAGTAGGGAAGGAAGGGCCCTGCACATGTTAGCTCTGAATCCTTGGGACAGCCCTAATAATACTGTTGTTATTGCCATTTTACAGGAGAAGAAATGGGAGCTTAGGAAAGTATCTTGCCCAAGGTCGCTCAGCTTGTAAATAGCTGAGCAAGGATTTGAATCCAGCGCTATTTGGAGGTATAAACCCATGCCTCAGTTGATAGGGCAGAAACCACTGACCCAAAAGTCAACCATGTAAGTTATCAAGGTCTCCTGGCCATGGCTGGACCCCTGGGAGGCCTGGGATAGGGTGTCCCATCAACAGCTTGGATGCCTCATGAGCTGCTGGGCTTTGGGAAAGGCAGACCTGGGCTTGAATTCTGGCTCTGCAACTTAGCCTCTGCATCTCTGGGCACCGTATTTCATCTTTTTAAGCCTTTCGTTCTTGATCCAAGTAGCTATATATTCTTACAGAACATAATCACAGAATTAGATGGAACTCTAAAGATTAGCGAACCACCTAATCCAAGGTCCACGCCAGGCAGGCATCTATGAGAGGTAGCCAGGCATCCAGTCAGGACTGTGGGCTCTGGGGCTATGATACTTGGGACTCCTAAATCCCAGTTTTGCGAGTTATAAGCAATGTGACGTTGGGTAAGTTACTTAAACCTCGTATACCTGAGCTACAAAATTGTGATAATAATCATATTATCTACTTCATTGGCACATTGTGGAAATTAAGTGAAATACTGTTTAGCAAAAATGCCTGCATACAGTAAACACTAAACACATTTTTAAAGGAAGCATCAGGAGAGGAAATTAAGCTTGAGTTCAGAACACGGGAGAAGAAATCTTGTGGGTTAAGAGAGAACTGGCTTTTGACAAATGTAAGCAGGGAAAGCATCCAAATAGACTGTTTCAGCCCGGTATATAAGTAATGTCCTTCAAAAGTGTCCAAAACAACACCATTAGTCTTCAGCTCTTGTGTTGACTATATTAATGTAAAATTATTACGCTTAGAAAATGTAGTTCGTGCTCTCTATGGCCGAAAGCATCCTGTTCTTTGCGTGGATTTCCTTTATGCTATCTCCCTCTGACATGATTATTCTAACCTGACCCCTTGTGTCCCGAGGCCCTCTAAGGGCTCCCCCTTTGCAGCAGGAAGGAAACACACATTTAAGGAAGAACCATGACATGCTTACAAGCTAGGTTGGCATGGAGTGGGTTTCCTGCACTTCCTTCTCCACAGAACACCCTGTGGGTTCCCCCAGAAATGTCCCTGCCCCCCAACAGTCAAGGTCGGCCCCTTGCTCACCTGAGTTGATGGGAGAATCGTAGCGACTGGTCGACAGGGATGATCTCTCCCTCTCCCTTTCCCTCTCTCTCTCCATCTCCTCTTTCAGTATCAGCTGCCCCAGGCCTGAGTTGAGCTATTTACAAAGAAAAGAAAAATGGAAGGGAAGCCTGCAGTTACTTTCATGAAAAATATAATTTCTTTTTAGAAGATCCTGTGAGAAGTTTCCGACTCTGGCGGAGCCCGGATGTATATAGTCTCAGAGCCTGGTGGTGCCTTAAGAGCTCGGCCGGGTTTTGGGCCTTGAGTCCCTCAGCCTTTTCAGTGTCAAGGCCGCATTTCCCCAAGTCAGGCTCCATATCAGAAGGATGTTCTCCCTCCCATGTTCTCCCCCAAAGTGCCAGCAGGTGACCTCAGGAGGCGTGTATGTTTGTGGATTTTTGGCGTAGAAAAGGGAGGTTGGGGATAGCAGCCTTTAAAAAGAAATTACACTGATTTGTTTAAAAACAAGAAAAAAAGCCAATACTTGCTGATTGTACAGGTTTTAGAAAACCCAAAGAGTAACCCATAACCCGCCACTCCTACATTTTGTTTTATATCCATACATCCAAACAAAACCTACATTTTGTTTTATATCCATCCAGTACTTTTTATGCACATATTCTACAAACTGGGATACTGCTATAAATGCAATTTAGTATCTTATCCCTTCATATAAGCCATATCATACACATTTCCCATATGATTAAGTATCTTTGGAAAACGTCATCGGGAGGGATTCACCCATTCCTCACTGGGGGGAGAGTTTACAATTTCCTGGCTCCCCCCGTCCCAGGCTATAACTGCCTCTCTCTGTATTGGTCTTCTGGCGCCCACGTTGGAGGTGGGAGAGTTAAGAGGGCTCCTTGGTGGCAGTCTATTTTATTCCTTCTTTCCTGGCCCAGATATGCACACAAGGTCCCACGGGTCCTGAGGAAAGACCTGGAGCAAGGCTCAGTCCCGAGGGGACTCCTTCGGCAGAGCCTGCAGGAGGGAAGGGAGGTGTTGAGCCACTCGGGTGGGCACCTTGCCTCTACCTGGCCCTGCAGCACCCTTTCAACTCAGGCGCCACACTCACGTGCCCCGCACAGGGCCTCACCCTCCTTGCAAAAGCCCAAACGTCACACGTCCCTCTGCCGTCCAGCCTCAGGGCCTCTCTCCCAGAACCGCTCAGCGCCCTGTCCTATCAGTCACCAGGAGCAGGACCTTGAGCCAAGAGCCGGGCCACTTCCCGCTCCTCTCGGTGGCCCACCCACAGCAGTCACTCCAGAAATACGGCGCGGGTGGGACGGAACCGCAGACGGCAGCGAAGCCGCTTAAGGACAAACCTTCATCAGCTGCTCTTCCTGAAGCTGCCGGCGTCGCGTAAGCTCCTCCTCGTCGTCTTCTCGGCCGCTGGACCTGCGCCTCGTGTCAGCTCCTAGTTCCCAGGAAAGACAACTTCTCGCGTCAGCTGCACGGCCCGGGGACCGCAGGGGACTGGGCCACCTGCGCTCCACGCGGCCGGCGGCCAGTCGGCAGCGGTCCTGGCCATTAACAGACAGCACCAGGGACAAGGAGCCTGCCGCCCGCTCGGCGCCGCCGGCTGCTTTCTCGGGGGGCAGGGTGGGTGCGGGACCCGGTGCGGGGCGGATCCCGGCCTCCCCGCACCCGGTCCGCTCAGTGAAAACCCGTGTTGGCCACTGCGACCGGGTCTAAGTCACCCGCTGGGCCCGGCCAGAGCTCTCCCTGTAAGTGGGAGGGGCACCTACACTTTGAGGTCTCTCAGGTCAATTTTCAAATAGAGAGAAATCCAAATTCATCTGCAAACGTTTAAACAGGCCCTCTTTTGGGACAGGCTTTAAAATCCTGCAGTTTTCTCTTTCGCTGAATAGATAGGCTCGCCATAACATCACCCTGCCTCCTACCCTTAATAAACTCATTCGCAAGTATGCTCTTCCCTTTTTTCTTAAGGGGTAGGTGCCTAACGCTTCCTTTTCCTCAATCCTTTGAAAAATGATCACAAAAAAGTTTTCTACTAATAAAAACTCAACAAAAACTCTCAATACAGCAATATAGCTAGAAAGTGCCTTACTTGGGTACAGTTTAGCAAATCATGTACAATTTTAAAGCTGCCTGGTAAAGGGGAGTCGGGGTGGAAAGGAGGGATCTGTCTAAATGGTTGGAAAATTAAGATAATGACTGTTTTTCCTAAATTGCTTGGATTAATCTGGCTGCGGGAGGAAACAGGAAAGCTTGCTAATCTAATCAAAATAAACTAATAGTCTCAGTTTTCTTATTTTGATTAATGGACCAAAAGCTGTCTTCGTTTTGGAACCCCAAAGAGCTTGAAACTATTTAGTGCTGACAGTTTCACAACAAAATGTTAATTCTCCGACCCCCTTTGAGTCTGGCTGCTGTGGGAACCCCACTAAGCAATGTGACTGAGCCGGGAACCGCGAAGGCCCCCCAAACTGCCTGGTGGAGAAAAGCTGATGACTCTTAGCTCCTAATATCATAAATGTCAAGGTGAATATTCTCTTTATACTAATAAAAGTGAATAAACACAGGTTTTCAAGGATTAGGTGCGTCTCAAGTCAATATCATGCAGAGAACGCTCGTGAGTAATGAACCCAAGAGATGGATCTCCTTCCACTATTTCCATACATGTAAAATCTACTTAAATTACTCATAAAAATTATTCCAAAAGTAAACAATAGCATGATGAAAACAATTTGGAAATTTTGGAAAATTGAAGGCCTTTGAGGTTGTCAACAGAAATGTGATAAGGGAGTCGTATCTTTGTCAAGCCGATTCGCTGCATTTTCAGGATTAGCGTCTGAGTTTGCTAATACCACTTTTTAGGCCAGGTGATTGCATGACTCACAACACAGTAACGGAGGACACAGACACAATTCTGAAGCACAAATTGGCGGTTCGAAGTGAAGAATGAAACAGCTGAAACGTGACATCGTAGCACAGAATCATGGAAATGATGGATGTAAAAATCACCTAACTTCAGAACACACAGTACTCTGTAGGAGCCCGTCTTAGAAATGGAAATGTGATTTTGTAAGAAAAGCCAAAGTGCTCCAGGGTTAAGATTGGTTGTTACGAGAACTGCAATTACGACCAGAAATCATCTAAAACAAATGTGACCGAAAGAAGCTTCTGTGGACACTCGGTTAATTCACCCATTAATTTCTAATTATATGGAACAACGTTCTTGCCAAGAGGTGTTCCAAACAGTTACTGACTTAGCAGTAATGCTCCTGAGGGTCCGCACGCATCATCTGTTTTAGACCAGCTCTGCATCTTGGCGATTTGGTTAGCGCAAGGCTCTGGTAACTGGGGGTTTGTAACTCGGAAGCGTTTCGCACACACGTTAATACCACATTAGTTCTTTCCACTGTTCTACCTCTTGGCCATACTTTTCTTAGAAACCTTTATGATAGGACACATTTTCTTGCACATTTTTAAGCATTTCACTCTGAGACCTCTTAGCAATCTGTCCAGTTGGCTTAGCTTGTAACAGTTGCATACCTACGGCAGCAAGGGAGGGGGGACCAGGCCAGTGGTCCGTCTCAATCTTTGGGATCTCGTTGGGGTCTGGAGCCTGGGCGGCTGGGAACTTGGAAAACTTGATGATGTCTTCTGCAGACTTGCTCTGGGCTGCCAAGGCAGCTGCATCTAGGCAGAATCAGGGGGAGCTTAGCTACCGGTCCACAAGGCCATGGTGGCAAACCCACTCGCATGGTCTTGCTCTCTTATCGCCGTTATCAACTGCCCAGGCGCTCAGCAGTGCCCAGCGACAGCTCAGCTCATCTTCCTGACGCTCCAACGGAAACAAAGCTTCATTTTACACCTGCTCTACATCTGCTCTGCAGCCGTGCTGTCCAATACTAGCTACCTGTGGCTATTTAATTTAATAACATCAAATGAAAAAAATCACTAAACTAAAATTCAGTTCCCTCAGTTGCACATTTTAAGTGTTCAATAGCCACATGTGATTAGTGTATACTGTGTTGAACACCAGCACAGTTACATAACATTTCCATCACCGTAGAAATTTCTATTGGACACACTCCTAGAGCAATTAGACACTTGAATTAGTATTTGAATTTAAAGAGCTAAGTTAAAAGCATGATACTGTCATTTGATGGTAGTTGTTAGTCATAAGAGGGCTGGCTGGCTTTATCTTTTGGCTTCTTAGCCACAAATATATTGGTCCAGCTCATTTTAATCCTTATATATTATATATGTGTCCTTGAGTCCCAGGAGAAATGAAAGTGGGAAAATCCACTTTCAGCTTGCAGGGACTTGGCGTTGTGACTTAGGTTTGCTATACCCACTCACTGTTTTGTTCAAGGGTCTGCGAATACACTGAGTCATCCAACTTTAAAACAACAACGGCCAGACTAGCAGCAGCATTAGTGCACAGGGTTCCTAATGGCTCTGCTTAGAGGAGTCCTTGGCTTTGAGCCCCAAATCTAACACAGAGATGGAGCCAAACCAACCAGGATAAGTGGTCAGTTCCTAATTCTGGCTCATTCTGCAAAATGACCTGGGCTGTTACTAACGTTTCAAAATATATTTATAATGCTTTAAATAAAACTTCCTCTCTCCCTGGGCTCACAGGTTTTTGAATCTGGAAATAACTTTTAGAATCTTCAGCGCCAAGTCCCCATTCCTGTGGAAAACGTCTAGGTCTCAATTTTAGGTTCCTTTGTAATAAAAAGGAACAAGGCCTTGGCCAGGCTTTGCACAGTGTTTCTCTAAATCATTAACCTCATGAGAAAAAAAAATTCCAATTGGAAAACACTGCACAAGTACCCTCTTCTTAAAGAATTACAAAATGTATTAGCTTTTTAAAGATGATTTCTGCATTACCAAAAACAGTGTGACTTCATTCAAATCTAGCATTTTCCAAATGCACCAGGGCATAGATGCCGGTGTTTGGTATGGACTCTATTTCTACTGCATGGAATACCTTTGGTTGTGCTACTCTTCATTAATTAATTACAAGGGTCTGACAGAAAGACAGAGGAAGGTCAAAGTAAATTTCAATAAAATAAGCCAATGAATCCCTTCCAAATAAATCTAATATTATCCAATCCTCAGTCTTAAGTATTTGATTATTTGTTTAGAGAGGCAGCCTAAAGATCGTAGTATTAAAAATACTAAATTAATACATCAAACCCTAGGAAACTTATTCTTAAATTGAAAAGAAAAAGCATGACTTCCAACAGTACTTACTCATTAGAATTGGTGAAGTCAGTAAACATTCACATGTTAATGAGTGGGTGAGANGGGAAACTTATTCTTAAATTGAAAAAAAAAAGCATGACTTCCAACAGTACTTACTCATTAGAATTGGTGAAGTCAGTAAACATTCACATGTTAATGAGTGGGTGAGAACACATTAAACCATAAAAAAAAACAAAAACAAAAACAATGTTAACAAACTTAAAAAGCAAGCACGTGGTGTAAAATCTTAAAAAAAAAACACCCCACAAAAACAGATGAGGGAGAAAATCATAGTTCCATAACCATTACAGTACATATATTCTCTCTTTTCCCTAGAATGTAGCCCTAAAATTTTTTCCCTGTGCTTTTCCGACTTTATTTGCTTTTCATGTCATCCTAATCCTATGGACACGTTAATGTCAGCTACATTTTAAAGGCAGCCTTCAAATTTCCAGGCACCATTTGTGTGTAATTTTCTGAAATCACTTGAAGACCAGTCTTGGCTTTAGAGAAATCCATTCACAAAGATTTATGGCAGAGAAATCTTTAAAGATCAATGGCAGAGGAAAATGTAATTTGCACATAGTGATGGGATTTCCTGGGTTGGTTTCAAAATTCCGTATTTCCCACACAAGGAAAGCGCAATTACAGATCCACAGTGGTGATTGTTTGCAGGAATTTCAGAGACAAACTGGCCTAACTCACTGGTTTTACAGATGAGACCACCAAGGGACAGAGGAATTGTGTCCATGACATCCTCAATCACAGAGCCATTTAGGTGAGGAGCTGGGACGAAGGCTAGGACCTCCGTGTCAGCGTGTGTCCTGTCCACTCCATCACCTGGGCACAGGTGTCTTCATGCTCCGTAAGCAACTGGGAACTAGACAGCCAAGCTGATGCGGGCTTAGTCAAATTAATTTCCCCAGGTAGCTGGCTTTCACTAGTTTTAATTAGTTAAATTGTAAGCTGATCAAAATTGTTACAGAGGCTGGTTAGATTATTTAATGGCAAAGGAAAATATTATGTCTTATTAGGATGTTTGTGAATTACTGTGTGGCTAGTCCTTCCCTTTCTCAATCAATGGGATGACACTTAGTTTGATGGGCTCCGAAATGAGCTAGAAGCTTCCTGACCAAGCTAAGTGTCCTCCATCTAGAAACACCAATCTCACAATATCTGCATCTCAGGAGAACATCAAGGTACAATTCGCTGGGCACCCCGGTTGGATTCCCAAGAGCAGCAGCCGATAAGCCTTTCAGAGGACAGCAAGAGGAGTTCAGGGAGTGGACACTGCCGTTTAAAAGCTAACGCGGAGGAAAGCGGGTTTTACCATGCTGCTTGTAGATGGGTGGTTTTCGGTAAATGTTGATCCCTTGATCTGTGGAAATGAAAAGCAAAGGTGTGTGATTATGGGAATCCATTCAGCGATGGGAAAAACAGACCAACCAAGAGGCAAACCAAACTGAAGATTCTTGAACAAAAATAACCCAGACAGTCAACTTGTATTACAAAGAGATTATTGGAAGAAGAGATTACGGGAATGAGCGAATTACTACAGACGAGTGATATGAAAATCCTTTGTAATACATCTTAGAGTATATAGAGATGCCATTAATTCATGGGCCATTTATTTCAAATACACAGTTCACTAAAACTGGGACTAAAACAGGAAGAAACACAAGCAGTGGAGTACTCTACGGTGAGGAAGACATAACCAGTTTGGGGAAAATCCCCAAATTGCTACTGTCTAGAAATTGAGCTCCCAGTAGATACCAGTGGCTCAATTTACTTTTCAACTAATGAGTGGAACAGTGGAAAGCAATGTAGTAAAATTAAGAGTATTTTTTTTAAAACACAGAAACACTTTCTATATGCAAGGCTAGTCTGATGTGGTACCAGGATGTTTGACTAACTCCTAATTTCTATCGGCCAAATTTTAAAAAAGATAAAAAAAGAAGAAAAAGACTGAGATGCCAAATATTATTCATATATTTTTATAGGACCCCATTTGACTATGCTACCATTTCATTTTGAGCACAAATTAAAAAGGGGGGGCTCAACTGTGTACCAGTGATTTTCAAGGTTCAATGAAGCTCTTATGAATCTCATTGAAGTCGCCTCTGTTTTATTAGACCCGTTTGAAAGGCAAGAGGAAAAAATTATTATAGATCCCAAATACGTACACTAGCATTAACATAATGGGTCATGGATTAAACCACTTTCAGGAGCTAAAAGAAGCAAAACAATGGACTTCCCATGGAAAAATAGTATCCTAACTTCTGATGACCAATCTTCCTTTACAAATTGAGCGGATCCTAAACATAATGATATCGATGGGTTCTGATTTTTCCAGTTCCAGGTGGCAAATTACTATTCGTGCTGTGACAGCAATGCTTGTGACCACAGAGTGAAGCTGGCAGCACTAAGCCTAAATTGCAAAGATCTTTGTGGGCTCCAGGGGTGGGTGGTTAGTTATACGTTGCAGAAAGACCACTCAGTCGACCCCATTTTACAGCTCTCTGGGAAGAAAAGTCCATGGAAAGAATCTCCACATTGGGGACAAACAGGAAAAATCAAAGCAGTCTGGAGTGACACCGTGGTTCCATCTTTAGAACGGGATGGTAACCAGATCGCCATGGCGATAATTAGTCAGTGACACCAGACCACAGCACGGTATCTTAGAAGCCGCTGATATAAAGGTGAAATTAAAATTTTAGTAAAAACCAAACAACTCGACCCTCATTCCTTCACTCTCTGCCTCCCACACTCCTTCAAAAAATAACGAGAAAACTTAAACCTTCTATGCAATCCTGGCGTGTCCCATATAACATATATGAAAGGCCCTCGAGGTCAGATCCTGCAATTTAGGGTTTGTCAACCGTGTGCATCCCGATGTAAAGAGCATGAGCAATGGAGACGAGACAGAGGTGACGAAGCTACATTCTACACCGTGACAGGACACCATGACATAGACCGTGTCGGCTCCTACCTGGAACATGGAAATGTTTAGGGGCCTGAGCGTAAGTTGGAGTTAGAGGGCGGCTGTCTGGCCGGTGGGGGAGAGGGGAGTTCCGGCCGCTGGACGGCTCGTTGCCTCCAATAAGAATGGAGAAAACAAAATGAGAGGAGGGGCGGCAGTAAAGGAAACAAAGCGAGCGTCATAAAAATTCAAAACGACCCACGGGGAGGGGAGGAGGGACACCAAGAACGCGGGACGGAAGAAACCAACTCAACGTATCGACGGGGCTCGCAAAGGGGGCAGACGGTTCCGCTTCCCCAAAGGGGCCTGAGTTCAAGCACCGAGCTCAAGCAGCCGCAGCGCGATGCGTCCTTCCCACGGCACGCGGCTGGGCCGTGACAGGCGGCGGGCGGGCGGCAAGCTCGTGAGCAGGATGGAAGGCGCTTGCTAATGGCTCGGGCCGGCTGTTAGACGGCAAAATCCCAAGCACGTGAAGTGGGGTGCGCAACCCAAACACGACCCCTGCCAGGCGGACGGCAGAGGCT